AATAATGTTCAGTCAAAGATATGTATTGACATTCAAGGAATCAACGTGGCCGGTATCTTTTGTGGAAGAATACTCGTTTCTGTAAGTCTTTCCATTCTAATTTGTAGACCAAGTGAATAATGACGGACTTGCGACGAAAACATTTTTTTGCCAGGTCATCGGAAGTGTTTGTATAATCATGCTATGCTTAGGAATTGGATACGAGCGTCGCGACTGACGAGCAGCGCGCTTGCCGATTTTCACTGCTTTTCCAGGCGTCGAAATATATATATATATATACCCGTCCAACTATATTTTCCAAGTAACGTAGAGTCGAAGGGAGCGGGAGGATGCACTTGAAACTGATATGCCCTTCGTAACGATTTGAAACCGCTTATACATAGAACAAATCTCATTTAAAAAAAAAACTTTTAATATTTTTCGCTGCAAGTCATTCTAATGTTTGAATCGGTACGTGCACTGCAACGTCTATGAATACAATAAATAATGGATACAAGATACATAAATGACTAAAATACATCACCGTATCAACATAACAACATAAAACAAACTTAAACATTCATACTGCGTAGTAACTGGTTTAAAAAATTAGTTCCCTTAACATTTTTAATATTTTAGAATTCAAAGCCGACTTTAGACTTTGACTTTGAAGGCCGAGGAGATTGCAATCTCGTTAGAAAAAAAAGCAATCGTTCAAAATACAAAAGTCGGGCGCAACAAACGAAAGCAATTCGGTCGCGGTACGTGAATCGTGGCACCAAAAATCGACGTAGACTCGAACGGAAGCCGCGTCGAGCTTTTAAGTAGATTCGGACAGCCGGATCAGGCCGAATGGTTCACAGTCAACGCAGTGGATCGAACCCGACGATCCATGTGCACGAATATTCAAAGACCGCGACGTAATAGACGAAAACTGTTGACGACTCGCGCGACCAGGGGCAGATAGTGCAATCTGTTTTCGCAGCGAGGAAAATTCCCAGCGACGTAACAGTAGTTTATCGATGCCTGCCCGATCGGAAACGGCTTCGAGTTGCTGGTAACTGCGACCAGGCAATCGTCCGATTAGAGATAACGACGGGGGGGCGGAGGGGGGGGGCGAGCAGAAATTGGAATCTAAACGAGGACCACGGAGATATCGACTTTATCAGTCGGCCGACGAGGGCTCGGTCGCGACGCGAGCAGAATCGGTAGCCCGGAGACTCCGTGCGAACGAGCGAGCGAGAGGGAGGGAGAGAGAGAGAGAGAGAGAGAGAGAGAGAGAGAGAGAGAGAGAGCGAGCGAGAGAGCGCGAGAGAGAGGGAATGACAGAGGGGGAAGGGGGAGAAGCGAAGGCGCAAGGAGGGACAGGAGGACGACGGCGAAGAGGAGCGGCGTGGTGTCGGCGTGTCCGCGCGCGTGCTGGTTGGCTGCCGCGTAAGAATAGAGCTAATAAATAGCTCCGGCGGGGAGAGGCGATATTACTAACCTAGCTCAACGTTACGGCACGTTGCCGAGCGCGACCCTGACGCAAAAGTAGCAACGCGCGCGCTTAGCCTAGCTCGCTCGCCGCTTAGCGGCTAGGTCGTTGACTGATTATTTTATGCACTCGATGCAAGTGCACCGCGCGAGCTGCGGCCACGCCGAGCCGCGAGCCGTTCCGTGCAAGCCGACGCACGCATACCTGCCCCGCCGGCTTCTTTATGGAGCCGAGCTTTTCAGTCGGCTAATGCCTCCATTGTTCACCGAACCTGGCGCACAATGGGATTACGGAAGTTCGGATTCTTTCCACGCTTTTTCTGCAGCGGAGTAGGTCGATCTCCGCGCAACGCCCCCCTCTGTCTCGCCGCTTATGGAGCTTCCCGGCCGATCGTTTCTGGGGGTGCGTGGACGGAGTGTATCGGCTTGTATCGCGGTTCGTTAACGCTAGATTTGTGCAGCGCTAGAAACTGCTATTTTCTATTATTGGGTTGGCAACTAAGCAATTGCCGATTTATTCAATGAAATAAAAAATTTTTTTTACTTGGAATGAAGTTTAATCTGTAATGTATTTTCCATTTTGTTCGATGACCTTTTGCCATCTCTCTGACAACTTGAAAATTCCATGCTCGTAGAAAGTCCGATCCTTTTCGGCCAAAAACTGAGTTAAGTGAGATTTTACAGCGTCATCATCATTAAAAGTTTTATCACGAAGGGAGTTGTCCAGGGATCGAAATAAGTGGTAATCCGATGGCGCGAGATCAGGGCTATATGGTGGGTGTAACATCAATTCCCAACCAATATCCATCAATTTTTGCCGAGTGGACAAAGACGTGTGCGGCCTAGCATTGTCCTGGTGGAAAATGACACCTTTACGATCGACCAATTCTGGTCGCTTTTCCTTGACCGCTGCATTCGATTCGTCCAGTTGCTAACATTCACGGATAATAAAAAATAACATAATAATAATTTTATAATATAACATTTACGGATATCATAAAAATGGGAGCGAGAGACATCTATAACTGAAATCGGCAACTACTTAGTTGCCAACCCAATAGTTGATCGAAGGAACGATCAGACGTTTGTTCTGATGTTGAACGAGCTTCGTCGTAATGTTTGCTGGTAAATGTTATTAGTAACACGCGCGCCGAAGAAATAGCTCAGAAATGTTTCTTCGCGATCTGCGATAATCCTAAACAACTCGTCATTTTAACGGTTACGCAAATGTTAAGGGTTAAAATGTTACCCGGTGATCAAGTTCTGATGTTTGTAAGGAAATGAATTTCTCTCTTTTTATTAAGCTATGAGGGCCCTATTGAGAATTATTAGCAGAATTCGCGTTGATATGCACGCTGACGTTGCATTGATAGCTTAGAACTTAGGGTGATAACTTATTCTTTATTCTAAAGGTACAAACAATAGAGTTTTAGAAATTAATGGACAGTAAGAAAAGGAGGGAACAGAAGGTGTCAATTTGTACACGGTGGAAGATGCATCCCCCCCCCGCCCGTTGCATAATTTGAAAGAAATGACTTGACGCCGAATGGATTGCTATCAATGACAGTATGGATTTCAACCTAGGCGATTATGCGATAAATGGATTGCGGATGTTATGCGTTCAAAGAAAAATTGAAATATAAAATCAAGGTTAAAATGGCAGATTTAAAAAATTGAAGGACGTCAATGCATTATTATGAATCTATTAAGGTAATTCAAGAAAGATAGAACTTGCCTCGTGCCTTAATAATTTATATTTCTTGCAACTGACGAAGACAATTTTCATTTTACATAAAGTCGCAGTCGAAGTGATGAAAAAAAATATAACATCCGCGAATCAAGGTTTATCGCCGACGATCGACGACGGAGACCAGCCAGCCGGTGATCGAATGTCTGCTTCTAAAAGATGCAAAGAAATGCATCCAACGTCGCTCAGAATCGCTCCGAAGGTTGGAGGAACGCGTGAGGTAGGTTCGCCGGAGGTAGACTGCTCAAGGTTGCCCTCGTCCGCGAGCAGATTGCACGCGAGCGCAGATAATCACGGTTTATCGCGATCGCGCGGCCGATTTCACGCGCAAACACGCCGCGAGCGGGATTATCGGCCGTGAAAAAGAACGTTTATCGTCGCGACGGCGGAGCGGCCGTGTGCACACAGTTGCAATCGCGGTCGGGAGCGGTTCTGGAGGATTTGCCAGCCAGCATGCGCGGCCGGACGGATGGTGGCAGAACGATTCGGCGGACGCGTTGCAACGCGGTGCAGGAGGAAGCGACTATGTTTAGACGGTTCGTTATCTCGTCCGTCGTTTCTCCGGCGAGCACGGTTTTCGAGAACGGCGAGACGATTACAAAGTTTCAGCGACGGTGACACGCATATCACGCCCACGAGCGCCGTTTCGGTGGCCGGCACCCGAACGGAATTCTAATTCGAGAACTCCGCGCGAGCGTTCAACGGCCAACGCACCATGAAACCGCTAACTCTTTGCTAATTCGGGCGACCTCGGGGGGCGCGAACGACGGATCCGCTGGCTATTTATCTAGCGGGCCCTCTCCTAGAGTTCCCCGGTTCCAGAACGATCTGTCCCGAGCTAGAAACTTTTGCTTTTCTACTTCGAGACCGCCGCATTCTCCGAAATCACTATACTGTAATGTCTCTCTAATTGCCGTTGAGATTGTCCACAAAAATGGACAATTCGGGAAGAGGAGACACGATTGTTCGAGCCTTGCAACTCGCATTTATAGGTACCCGTTTTCAACAATTATAAAAAAACAAGCTGCAAGGCTCGCATAATCGTGTCTCCTCTTCCAAAATTGTCCGTTTTTCTACACAATCTGAGCGTCAGTCCGGGAAACATCACTGTATATTCCTAACTCTGTTCGTCCTATTCTCTAACACGGTCACCTTATCGGAGTTATCTGTCCAATCAGATTAAAACTAATCTATATCACTATTTTATGTAACACAATAACTATCACTTATTGGTTTTATTCTATTTATTTCTTTGCTTATTGAATATATATGCCGGAATTTACTCAGTAGTCATAAAATTGCAAAATAAAAAATAAAAGATACAGAGGTTCGGGAAATTAATTTGTTCGAGTTGCTCACCAGCGTCTAGTAGATCAAAAATACGAGTACAATTCTGCGAACTGTTTCGTTCACCTAACGAATTCACCTAATTCAATGGCTATCTAATTCAGGTGTGCATCCAGCGACCAGGAAAAGGAAGGTGCGGCTCGGATTTAGGATGCCGAAAACTGTTAATACCGGCAAGCTTCGAAGTGTACTAAACTTTTAGCGTCGCGAACAATGTATTATGTAACTGCAAGCAGCATTAAAAATTCTAATTCTCGTACGCGCTGCAAATTCTAACTAGGAAGTCGATCGTATACTTGTCGATGGCCATTCCGCCGGCGAAGTGACGGCCTCCCGATAAAAGTAGAAATTTATTACCGTGCACGTTGCAATTTCCATAGTATTATGATAAATTCTAGATAAAATATGTCACTAGCGTACGAGGAATGTGGACTATAAAAATGCGAGTCGCGTGGGCGATGGCACCAAGTACCAAGTCGAAGCAGCCAGAAGCGATTCGAAGTGTACAAAATGTTCAAACTGCTCGTCGCGATGACGGTGTTAGCCGTGGTGGCCGCTCAGTGTAAGTATCGTACAGTACAACGCTATACTTACCGAGCTGACCTCTCGTCGCTTTTATTATAATGTATGCTTGTACGATGAAATTTATTCAATCGCTTTCTGCAAAAGAATCTTTTCAATTCCAGCAACGTTAAAAAAAAACATCCGAAGGCGGTCGTTCTGATCGGCTCGGCAGGTTTAGCGTTAAAACCATCTTTCGATGACTGATTTGCTGCAAAATTTAATGTTCTTGGTTGTTTAAGCTTCCATCGGAAGACCGAAGTGTTCTGAGAACGAGTCCTGGTCGATATGCGGACATTTGTGCGAACCATCTTGCGAACATCCGATAGTTACCCCTAGCTGGTGCGGTTTCTGGTTCTACCGCGTGAGTGCCTCAAATATTTTAGTCTGTAGAACATTTCTAGGAACTAGAATTTCTCGTGGGGATTATTCATCCAGTCCACTAGACAGCCTAGGATGATCTTTCTTCAATTAAATAATCTCATACATGGTATTTCAGCCATGCAAAGGAGAGTTTTACGGCTGCAGGTGTAAAAATGGCTATGTGAGGAACGATAAAAAACACTGCATTGAGGTAAAGGACTGTCCGCATAAATCATAATCCGAAGCGATCTAAAGCGATCTTAGTGCCAAGGGCTATAGTACGAGATTATATTGTAACAAACCGTGCAATAAATATATAATCTTTGCATAATGAAAAAAGACGATCTAAGCAAGATAAATTCAATTCCTAGACAGTCGTTCGCTAATGATAGGGGCCATTGTTTGCGCGTCGGCGGATTATGTCGGGCCTGATTAGGTGCGCGTGCAACGGCAACCCTCGTTTCGTGCCCCGTGAAAGCATAATCGCCTCGAAAAACTGACAGCAATACTCTGATCATCGACCGTTTCGAAAAATCCGCTCCACTTTTCCGTTCTCGACGGCCGATTATGGGAAGAAACTCGAAAACCACTCTCTCTTTCTCTCTCTCTCCCTCTTTCTCCCTTGAGAATATTATGTTTCCATTTTCACTAAAATTACAATTTAAACAGCCAGTAGTCACCACGAGTGACGAGTATACTCGTCATGCCACAAAATACTGCCACTTCTCTATATGACGAGTATACTCGTCGGATACAGCTAGCTGCATAAACTCGATTAATTAAATTTAAACGAAATTCTGGAGTTCGACTTTTCCGGAGAGCAGTTTCCCGTGGATCTATGTGTACTTCCGTGGTATATAGCCGATCTACCGCAGTGTCGCGTCCGAAGAGCGATCAACGTTCTATTAATTGCCCCGAGTATCCGAAGTTAGTGACCAGAAGCGAAGCGGGATCGAAAAAGGTTGGTATTCCTCGCGTGCTTCACGGTCGAATCAAAGGAGCGGTCCGCCATAAAACGGTTACGGCGCGCGTCTCCCACGGCCGGACACACGTGGCCGCGCCGAAATAAATTCCCGACTAAGTACGCGAAAAGTTTTAATGGGCCCGCGGGTATTTATACGCGGAGACAGCCGGCCGTCGCCCCTCTTTATTCCGTAGAATTTATGACGCGGCCATGTTCCGCATTAACAGAGCCCCGTGTCTTCGGCAGAGCGGGCGCGTGATGCCAGCCGCACGGCTTCCAGCCGAATGCAAATGCCGTCCCGGAGGTCTTAATGGCGGCCTTAAAACTCGAAATCACCCGGGAGAAAACCCAATAAAGACTAGGCCGCGCGCGACGACGCTGCGAATAGGTGCGCTTCTTCTTTTTATTACCGCCGCGTAATCCTGTCGAAATCTTTCTCCTCGCTGAAAAGCACGCTGGAATGCTGGAACCCTGGAACACGTTGATACCGTTCGACCGAAAAAATACCTGGGACACCGTGAATATCTTCCGCGACTTCGTGACACTTTATCGGCTGCTGTCGAGACGAATTCGGTGGCCTACGATACTACAGTCTTAACCCTTTTAATGCCGAACGACGATCTATCGTTGCGTATGCGACGGCGTCAAACTGTTCGAGATGCGTTTGCGTATGCATTAGTGAGCGTCGATGCTAAATAAATTATTTTGTGCGAGCAATAATAAGTAAATATTACGCATCTTTTCAATAGCCAGATAACTAGACATAAATATTTATAATAATCTTAAAATTTTGTTCAGTAACGTTGTACCAGCTACACCAATTCATTTGTTTTGTAACAGATTCTCATGCTTGCCGTGCATCGTGGCATTATCCTTTAGTTTTGTGGTCCGATAACAATTATTTCGTTACAAACGATTCAAAGTGCAATATCTATACTTCATACCAAGTGATCTAAGCTGTGATCAAACGATGAACTTTCTTATGTGCAAATACTTTCTTTAATAAAGAGAATTGATTCATCTCTTTTTCGTAAATGTTTTATATTTATGTCATTTATATGATTTTCGACGAACATTTAAATAAAACCGGCGTTAATTTATTCTCTCATTATTTCGTAATATGCTTGAACTTTGCAAATATTCTTGCTTTGGTTTTTGCGAGCTTCTTCCCCAAACCTTAGCAAAAATTCGACGAATCGGTCCAGTACAGGATGTCCCAAAAATGTCTGGCAAACCAGAAATGAGAGGTTCCTGGGATCATTTGAAGTAACTTTTTCCTCGGCGAAAATGCAATCCGTGGCTTCGTTTACGAGTTATTAAAGAAAAACAGTGACCAATGAGAGGCGAGCTCGCCTAGCGCTTGGCGGCCGAGCCAATGAGCGCACGGAGCCCAGTACCGCTCATTGGCTCGGCCGCCTGACGCCAGCTGATCTCGCGAGCCGAGCTCGCCTCTCATTGGTCACTGTTTTTCTTTAATAACTCGTAAACAAAGCCGTGGATTGCATTTTCGCCAAGGAAAAACTTACTTCAAATTACCCGAGGAACCTCCCATTCTCGGACTGCGAGACATTTTTGGGATACTCTGTATCTTTTCGCACAGGCGCGACGCTTTCGCTCGGCACTGAAAAAGAGTTAAACCTCGAAACAGTGGCGAAATAATTTCAGCCGCGAAAACCGAATTCCCCGGTCGCTGTGCGCGGGCGGCGATGGTTTTCCCTCGCAGTCGCGTGAACGATCCCGCGCAAGGTGCGCGCACAAAGGCGAGGCTGCAATCTAAATTGCCAGGACTAAATGCGGTCTTATCAGGCCTATCATCCGCGTCACGGTCCGCCGGTGCTAGAAAGTACTTCTCGCGCGATTTATCGCGATCCAGCGGTCGTTCGGTTAGACGATCAATTATGGACGCATGTACGATGTTACCGAGATAGCCTCGAGAGCCGCGGTCCTGTTACGGGAGGCCCGCCGCCGCCACCGCCGCCGCAAAAACCGGCGCATTCGCCGATAAGGGAGCACACGATGACCGTAATGGAATAGCTGGAGGGCCGTAGCCTTTCGCGCGTCATACATCACCGGCGTCCCGAGCAATAGGCGCTCCGAAATTCACGAGACACCCGTGGGACTAATCCCGTAAATAAGAAACTGCCTGCCGGCTGGAAGTGTTTACGCGGCCCATAAAAAACTTTCAACCCTTTTGCCACCGGCTTATTTCCATTATGAACGACCGCCGGGTTAATTCGAGGGCCGTTCGCGCGAGCGAGAGACCCGAAATAAAGCGGACATACCGAGCCGAAAAACGGCAATATTCGCTGTCCTCTTCGTGGGGGAGGGGAGAGTTCGCCGACGAGCTGCTAAGGAAGGCGATTCGAGGACTTTACGAGCCGGGGATCGCTCGGGAAAATTGGCTCCGAGTTCCGGCGCGATCGAAAACCGCCGGAGAATTTCTTGGCAGAAGCGCCGACGATGACGACGACGACGGGAGCCGCCGGTGATGATTCACGCCACTGACCCACAACAATGTTTCCGCGTGTCGGCCACGCGATTCGAAAATACGCTTGTTGTTCGCAGGTGCGTGAGAACCTGACAATGCTCCGATCGGCCGAGTCAACGGTCCGCGACGGGACCGCGAACCGAGCGCCTCGAAATTAATACAGATCGAACGCGATTTCCTGCACGGCTCTCTGCGGCTCCACGCAGACCGCTTTCTACACGCCTTGTGGCGTAATTCGTCGTGTAACTGACACGTGACTCGCGAAAGAAGCGAAGCCCGCTGAATTCTAGCCGCGAACGGCTCGGCGAGCGTGTGTGCACTTTAGACCGCGCGCTTGCTTCGATTCTCGCTGCTGCTTTAACCGATAGAGGAGATCGACCGACGGAAAGACGAGCAGTGTGTTACGTGTTTTAATCCTATTGCCGTGCTACGATCCAGTCTGATTCGCGACAGACGTTTCTAGCATGTCGGAATTCAAATCTGGTTCCACCGTCGTCGGCGGCTAAGAAAAGTTCGAGAAAATGCAGTACAAGTCTCTGTAATTGACGCTCGGATTGCGCAGAAAAGTGGACAGTTTGGGAAGAGGAGATACGATTTTTCGAGCCTTGCAATTACCGATTGTCAAGAATTGAGCCGTTTATTTTGAAAGTGGCATAAGTCACTTTGTTTTTAAGTCGATATATTTAAGGGTTTGCGTTTTAACACGTTTCAAAATATGGATGCTAACTTTCGAGAAGATTTACTTGTATTTGTTATCTCAGGATATTGATATCTTTCTCCACTTTTCATTGCGGTAAAGTGACTTATGCCACTTTCAAAATAAACGGCTCAATTATAGAAACGAGCCGCAAGGCTCGAACGATCGTATCTCCTCTTCCTCAAATTGTCCATTTTTGTGCACGATTTGGGTGACAATTAGGGAGACATTACTGTAGCACGACGAATGTCGATCATCTTTCTCTTTCGAAAATTGTTACAGAAAAGCTCCGAGACAATTATAGCTAGAAAGTACTGCCGGTACGTCGATGAAATGCGTGAAAAATTGAAAATTATACGCTCGTCGCTTGTTAATCGGCATATGTCGTCATACAAAACAATTGCGAAATTAAACGAATTAAAATAAGAAATTCTGCAGCACTCGGCTTATTCGCCGGATTATTTGCCAACCGACTTTCATCTTTTTAAACATTTGGAACAGTTTTTACGGACTGAACAATATGAAAATAAAGACAATCCGAAAAATTCCATATCAGAATTTATCGATTCTAGAGATCGGAATCACTTTAAGACAGGCATCTGTGCATTAAAATCTCGTTGAGGAAAATGTATCGAAGCAAATGCATCCATATTTCAATTAAATAAACAACTTTCGAATAAAAGACCATGCAGTTTTATACATTCCCTTAAAAATCCGACATTTCACACGCACGAATCTAACAGAAACGGGCGTTCATCCGTGCATCAAAGTAAACGAAAGGAAATTGAAAAATACTTATTAACGCCTCAAGTGAATCCTAATTGGATCGCGGCGCAAGAGCGGCAGTGTTCCAAGCGAGTGGCGCGAAGCCTGGTCGAAAGACGCTCGCCAAGAGCGTATATTCCTGGTGCGAAAGAAATTCCTGTTCCGTCCGTCATCGTCGCCGGTGTTTACGCAACCGGCCGGCATTCGCCGCGTCTCGTGGCGACTTCCGCAGGTCCCCGGAGCGCTCGATAGGGAAACCGGGTGCGCCGCTCTTTGTGTAGTGTTCGGGGGGGCTTTGTTCTTCGCGCCGCGGAACTCGCAAATATTTCCCGGAGCCTCGGACCGTCGCGGCGCGGCGCGACGTTTCCGCGTCGCGTGCACACGCTTCGATCGCGAAACGCCGCGCGCGCGACTCGCACACGATGTGCTTCCGCGTCCGCACCCCCGCGCCATCGCTCGTTCTCTCTTTTCGCAGCCCGCTTTGACCGGAGCTTTGCGCGCGACGGCGATGAGAACGTGGCAACGGAGAAACACGACTCCGCCTTTGGCGGTTCCCTTTTGGCCCCGCGGCTTGCGACACCCTCCTCCTCCTCCTCCTCCTCGTTTACGCGCACCGGCTCTTGTAAAATTCACACTCGAGGACGACACCACCTACGGCGGCCACGCCGGCGTCGTTCTCTCGTTATTTCTCGTCTGCTCGGACGCGGCAACGGTAACAAACGGCGAAGACGAGAGGCGCGCCGTTTCTGCGGCTCGAAAATCCTGAACTGGGAAACCACCGTGATCGACTGTGACTGGCGATTCGCTTCGCGAGGTTACTCTGTTTCTCCGCGGAAACGCGACCCAAGCTGTCCATCTCTCGCCGCCATTCGGCGCGGAATAAGCCGAATGGGCGTGGCTGACGGAGCTAGAGCTGTGCCCCGCGAGGCAATTAGAGCCCGGGACGACGCCGTAGAGGGAATATAAAGGAAATATAGAGGGAATGCGGTAATTCGAAGCTCGTCGAGGCCTCCGCAACCCGCGGCGACGCCGAAAGCTCGTCCCATGTATCCTCCGACCCTCGCGCGGCCCCTTTCTCAACGTAACAGTGACAAAACGCCGCGATTACGGACACCAGTTCCCGCGCCGCATTGCGCCGCGCCGCTCCAAGTGGATGGCTTGACGACACAAGCGGGACCTTTTCGGAATTAACCGGCGGCTCTCGAGCACCGTTCCTCCGCTTGACCGTCCCCTGTGCTCCCTTCCATTTCTTTTCTGCCACCCTACACGCTCTCCTCGCACTCGTCGCACCTCTCAGCCGCGAGGATTTCTTTTTAGCCGCGGGCGAGAAAGTCCGGCCCCGGCTACCGTGAAGTTACGCGGTTACGCTTATGGCCGTGCCTTCGCCGAACACGGGGGCCGGCAGGGTCTTCCGAATTATTAGGCGAACGAGTTAACTTCAGCGGTTTATCCTTCAACGATCAGACTTACCAGACTCGTATCTACGATTGGGATATCCTGAAGAGAGTTCCCAGGTTTTTGCAACGCTTTCTAGTTTTGCAAAGCATTGCGAGACTGTCTGAACTTTCTGGAGGTATTGTTTAATCAAGCTTTTAACCCTTTGCACTCGAAGCCATTTCAACTGTGAATCTAAATTAATTTTTTTGACCTATGGTATGTCCATTTTATATGACAAAGTGCATTTTATGCGTGTGAAATTTATAGTCTTGCGACTCGTACAACAGTTAGACTTTCGACAATTTTGTACGTCTAGGCTTTTATGATATAAAAGTTGTCTTGGAACATAATGTAACAATTTTAACCCTTAACGGTCCAATGCCGCCATACACGCGGCAGAAATCAATAAAACCGTAAAATCTGGCAGGAAACATTGGAAGAATAGGCACGATTGTTTCGACGAAAATATATCAACGAAGTTTTATTGAAAAAATGAATATCTCCTCTCTATGTTTGACACAAAAATTATCAGTAAAAAATTTCCCTTCGTCTGAAAAACAGTCTGGACTTGGCAGTGTGTAAACTGGAATAAATAGTTTTGGTCCCCTAAGGGTTAATGGTGCCTCAGAGTCATCACTCGAGTGCAAAGGGTTAATTTGCAGGAAAGACAGAAATTAACTTCTATACTTAGCCCGTTGCCGGCGAGGATCTTTTGTAAAGTGCTAGAAATATTTTTCTCGGAGGTATAGATCGCGTGTCGAAGACTCGAATAATTTGAAAAAATGTCCATAAAATTTGAAAAATTAATAGTTTAGAAAATGAATGCAACGTGTCGACTTTCGATGGCTATCTGATTCAGGTGTGCATCCAGCGACCAGGAAACGGAAGGTGCGGCTCGGAATTAGGATGCAGGAGACTGTTGAGACCGGCAAGCTGCGAAGTGTACTGAACTTTTGGCGTCGCGAACAATGTATTATATACCTGCAAGCAACACTAAAAATTCTAATTCTCGTACGCGCCGCTAATACTAACTAGGAAGTCGATCGTAAACATGTCGATGACAATTCGCTGGCAGAGTGACGGCCTCCCGATAAAAGTGGGAATTTATTACCGCGCACACTGCAATTTCCATAGTATTATGATAAATTCTAGATAAAATATGTCGTTCGTGTTTGTACGAGGAACGAGAACTATAAAAACGCGAAACGCGTGGGTGAAGTCACCAAATAGCAAGTTAAAGCAGCCAGAAGCGATTCAAAGTGTTCAAAATGTTCAAACTGCTCGTCGCGATAACGGTGTTGGCCGTGGTGGCCGCTCAGTGTAAGTATCGTTCAGTACAACGCTATACTTACCGAGCTGACCTCTCGTCGCTTTTATTATAATGTATGCTTGTACGATGAAATTTATTCAATCGCTTTCTGCAAAAGAATCTTTACAATTCCAGCAACGTTAAAAGCAAACATCCGAAGGCGGTCGTTCTGACCGGCTCGACAGGTTTAGCGTTAAGACGATCTTTCGATGACTGATTTGCTGCAAAAATTAATGTTCTTGGTTGTTTAAGCTTCCCCCGAACCGTCGGAGAAGTGTTCTGGTAACCAGTCCTGGTCGATATGCGGACAAATGTGCGAGCCAAGTTGCGATCTACCGCATCCGAACCCTAAGTTCTGCCCTAGACTCGTGAGTGGCTCAAATATTCTTCACTGTAGGATATATTCCTAGGAACTAGAACTTCTCCTAGGGATTATTTATCCGAATCAGTAAACAGCCTAAAATCTTTCTTCAATTAAATTGAATCATATACGCGGTGTTTCAGCCGTGCCTGAGACCCTTGTCCGGCTGCAGGTGTAAAAAAGGCTTCGTGAGGAACGAAAATAACCACTGCGTTTTGCTGAAGGACTGTCCTCCCAGGTCAGATTCTTAAGCGGTCTAAAGCGATCTTCGCCCCAAGAGCTATTGCACGAGATTATACTCTAAGAAACCGTGCAATAAATATCCAATAAATAAGCAATTAACGAAAAAAGACGATCTACGCAAGATAAATTCAATTTCTAAACAGTCGTTCGCTAATGATAGGGACCATTGTTTGCGCGTCGACGGGTCATGTCGGACCCGATTGGGTGCGCGTGAAACGTCGACCCTCGTCCCGTGCCGCGTGACAGCGCAACACTCGAAAAACTGACACCATAGATCGCGTATCATAGACTCAAATAATTTGGAAAAATGTCGATAAATTGGAAAATGAACGATTTGCAAAATAAACGATTTGGAACAATAACACAACGTGTCGTCTTTCGTCCCGAAATAATTAATAGATAAAGAAGCATTCGAGATTGAGGATGCTTGAATTTTCAAGAAATGCGGACCAAAGGATCGCCCGGAGCTTCCATGATGGCGGAAGATCGGTGAAAAATATCGAATAACATGAGCGGCTTTGATCGATCGACGCGGATCTCGATCGTGTGTCCTCCGAGGCGGCGATATCATCGATTACGCGAGGCGGGATCAAAGCAGCGTTACATCGCCGCTTTCCCCGGCGACGATAAACCCATATCCGAGGATTACCCGTCGCAATTACTTAACGCCCCGAGACCGTCGGGGCTGCACGGCAGTTTGCATGCAAAGCGGGCCCCGGTGTACACGCGGTCCGCCCGGTTTGGTGGCCACCTAGAGTGGCTACGTGCCGCGACGTTCTCCCTCGGACTTACCGGGAGCTCGATTAAAAGCGACTTAACAGCGAGAGAGCCTCCGCGGCGCGGATTATCTCCGTGCAAGATATCGAACTCGCTCGCGTGGATCGCAAGCCGCGCCGACGATTACTATCGCGACCACCGGCCGTACCCCGAAAACGACGTCCGATATCTTGCGCCGTTGAATGACTCCTATCGGCACCCGATCTCCTCCAGAATTCCTCCGCGACGGTCGTCCGTTACTGATAACCGCGGGCTCTAGCGAAATTTTCTATTTCTAGCGGCGTAATCTCGCCGCGGATCTAGTCGATCGTAAGTTAAACTTTGTTATCGCCGGTACTCGTTATCTGCTACATTGGAATTGCGTATCTCGCGTAATTTAAACACCGCGGAATAGCGGAATTATATAGCTTTCGGATACAGCCCGGTCGGTCGGTAGATGCGTGAGAAGATTAATTTTTTACGACCGGAAAGTCGAGAGTTTTCGAGAAACTCGTTCACAGAATGCGCTCGCGATTTATTGTTCGCGTCGGAAAGAGAAGAATCATTGGACAAATTCTATTGACGATAATAGCGCGAAGAATCGTCGTAGGATGATGGCTCTTCTTTTAAATTAAAGCTTGAAACCTCGACTTTCAGGTCATTTTTATGGATTTTTAATTCGATGCACCCTTGTCACTGTAACCCTCTAAATGCGAGGTCATGTTTGTCATATTGAAAATTATCAAGTTTGACGAATTACGCGGACTGTATAAAATTTTTTTCGGAGATGCCTCTTACAGTTGAATATAGTGCAATCCTCCCCCTTTAATTGAAAAAAGAGAAAACTTGACTGCGATTTTTTTCCGCGAAGTTACAACACTTTAAAGTAACCCTTGCTAAATTTGCCAATATTACAAGCATGGTCTCGCATTTAGAGGGTTGCAATGGTGAGAGTGCATCTAACTAAAAATTCAGAAAAATTACTTGAAAGTAGAGGTTTCAAGCTTTAATTTAAAAGAATAGTCACCATCCTACGATGATTTTTCGCAAAGTTATCGTCAGCAGAAGTTGGCCAATATTTCTCTAAAAAAATTTCCATGCTATAATGTTTTTGAGCAGTACATTAAACAGTTTTAAAGCCAAGTGTAAAATAACGAAAGCACATTGTACCACTTGCACATGCTTTTCTCAATGGTTTAAATGTCCCAGTAGTTCTCGATCGTCGTAGTCCTAATCGTAGATACGGCAGAGCGGAATTTGAATTTGTCCGGTCGGCGTCGGCAAAAGGATCTGGGAAGTGTCTCGCCGAGGAATATGGAAGCCCGTGGACAATAACCGCGTCTGGGTCGGGCACAAAGCCGGGTCGATAATGGAAATTTATGTCGGTCGTGCGCCAGCCACGGAAGATCGAGAACCGCGAACGTGAAATTCAATAGGCGAGCTAGATCTAATCGGCGAACCGAGAACACGGCTGCCGCGTCTCGCGTTTCGTCGCGCGCGAAAAGATACGCCCGCTGTAAAATGCGTCGCCCGTGGACCGGCCCGTGTAAATCAGTTCGCCGCTCTTCCGGAAATTCGAGTACCCTTCTGCTCCCTGCCCTCACGCAAATTTTGCGCCACCTCCGAGGCGATGGCATCGCCAAAACGATCCGCGCGCTCGCGCGGCTTCAACGCGGTCGAGAATCTTCAAGAAATTAATTCACGCAAATACCATAAATTTGATCCCAGAAATATTACGAACAAGATTTCATTCGAATAACATTTCCCTCAAATTCTTCGAATGATACTTGATTGCATAAATATTTCGAATAAGACTCGATTCGAACAATATTTCCATTGGAACTATTTTTAAAGAATACATTCGCGTGGCTCCAAAAATGTCCAGGGCTTTTTCCCTGCGTCCTTGTGGTCGGTCGGTTATGTCAAGGGTCAATTCGATATCTGTGTATTTCTCCTATTTCTATTTCTCTAATTTATTCACTTTCGCGAAAGCACGTTGAAAAATGCAAAAGTTCAAACTTCCATTAACGCGTGATTGCAACGCGCGGGATTCCCGTTGCGCGTTGTTTCGGAAAAATCGACAGTTTCCAATCTGATGGGTCAGTCTAGAGAGCTACCGGCTGTTCCGGCTAGTCCCGAGCGATTTAGCGGCCTAGGAACGCGAGCATAGAGGCGTTGAACCGGCCGAGGTCGACGCGGACCCGCATCGGGCCGCGCGATAAACTGCTTAAAGCGGGAGTTCAAGCCCGATAACCATCGTGCGCAGACTAAAGCCCACAAGGCATCGTAAACCCGATTTTTCCGCGCGGCCGGAAAGCCGTGGCGGTTATTTCTACGGCGCGGAACGGCCGCCCTGGGGAGCGGAGCGTGGGTTCAAAGGCGGCTGTCGGGCCAATAAACTATCTTATTTACTGCGAAAGCTGCATTCTTCCGGCGGCAATAATAGCCGAGCCACCGAAACTCGGACGATGCTATGGGAATCTTGGTTCATCGAATAGCGGATTCGAAACGGCAGGGAAGAGAGAAACTGAGAAACAGAGAGAGAGGGAAAGAGAGAGAGAGAGAGAGAGAGAGAGAGAGGGAGAAGGAGGGAGGGAGATCGGGATTCTATCCTCGGCAGAGCGGAATACGACGACAACGGAGGAGCTTCTGCTACCGAGGACATTTTAATATGACAGAATCCTCTTACTGCTTTCCCTCTCCAGCTCTATAAAAAGTTTAATATACCGGTGTTGTCCTGCACACCCCCGCAGTCCTCGAGGACGTTGACTGCGGGGTTGCGCCGGCGGCCGAACAAGCGGATAGAGGCGAGGATGCGGAGAGGGCCAGGGGGCGGCGCGGGGCAGGCGCAAGACGCGGGTGCTTAAACCTTGAAAACTTTCCGAGGGCCGGCAATAAGCCGTCCTCTCGATGATCCCACCCTCCCCCGCCCCCTAAGCTCCCTATAAATCTTCATTATAGCGTGCCACGGAATCGCGATAGCACCGTATAACCGGCGAGATCGGATAAAGTCACCGCGGGGAGGGAGGCGGGCTGGTCCCGATGATAGATCGAGAGCAGAGAGCAACCTGAAGAGGAGAAGAGGTGAAACGGGGTCGCCGGCACGCGTCCTCCGGGCGCGGCGGTGCCCCGACGACGCCGTGCGTCGGCCCCGATCGAAGCGTCGAGACGCGGAGCGGAGCAACGCCTCGTGAATTCCACGCGAACCCGAAATCCGGGATGAGATTTTGCGAGGGGCCGGGGACGGGACCGCTGCAAAAACTCGACCCATTCTCTCTCTCTCTCTCTCTCTCTCTCTCTCTCTTCCTCTCCCTCCGTCCCTCTTTCGTCTTCCTCCGCGGCGCACTGTGGAGCGAAGTGCAAACTTGTGCCAAAATCCGAGAACTTTTAGTACGAATGAGATAAAGCGATTATCTTTCTTTACGTTCATGCTGAGTTGTTGCAGAATAAGGGAAACGCGGAGAGAATGTAGCATGAACGTTTTTCTTAATATTGAACATTTATGTTCAACTCGAAATATTCCGACAAAATTGGGATTATATTTTACAATTGTGATACCGTGTACAGTTTTTTTTATCACATGTTATACATCATTTCTCGTAGATTTTTACACTAATTTCAAATGGTTTTACACTAATTTCTGGTCGCAAAATTTATCTGGCACTTCAGGATTTTGAGATAAATCTGCAGGCTATCAAATCGTAACGAAAAGATCACGTTTTCATTCGTCTCTTCACTTGAATTGACTTTTTTCAGAACCCTGAAGTGCTAGATGAATTTAGCAACTAAATTGAAATCAGGTAACTATGTGTAAAATGTCGTAAAACGATTGAACTATAAATGGTATCGCATAAATCGTGATTCTGTTGGGATGCTTCAAGTTTAACATAATCTTTCAGGGTTGAAAAATGTTCGCGCTACGTTCTCTCTGTTTTTGTTTTATTTCGCAACGTTTCAGCTCGAACGAAAGAAGAAGATCATCGCCTTTGTCTCGATCCTATCAAAAGGTCTTTGATTTTGACACAACTTCGTCACTTCGGCCCACTGTTCGGCGTTCCGCTTCTACTTCTTCTGCTGTTCTGATCCGCAGCCAACTTGGCATCTGGCGGCCGCGTTGCGCAACCCCGCGGCGAAACCCAAGAAAGCGGCGCGCCAAGAAAACCCACCAGCTCTCTCTCTCTCTCTCGCTCTCTCTCGCTCTCTCTCTCTCTCTCTCTCTCTCTCTCTCACTCTCCTGGCTCCAAGAAAAGCCAACGATCTTCTTGGCCCAGGTTCCATCTCTCGCGACAACGTCGCGAGCCTCCGGTTGGTCACGTTGCATTCCGAGTCTTATTCGGGGGATGATTCTTCTAGGCTCTCTTTTTACCGTTTCAATTTTCTAGTCAGCTTATTCCACTCCTTAGGTTTCATCGCGTGGAGTCTCCAGCGTTTTCAATGGAATCTGCGGGATAAAATTGTGTCGTCTAGTATCCGGGGGCCATCTCTCACGATCCATCCGGGCGATTCTGTTCACAATTGACTATAATGTGGCCCATTGAAAATTGGGAGGGGTTTCAGTCATCGTTACGGTGTTTTACAACTTGTCTATCGAATATGAAACTTTGAA